CTCTACAAAACGTTTTTTACCCCATTATTTTATTCTTATTGAAACATCCTAATGGTAATCTTAACAAAATTGATGTATCTTAATGTTACAAAATTGAGATATCTTGAATACAAAATTGAGATATTTACAAATATCGCATAAAACAAAGATGCAAAGTTTATTTAAAAAAAATAAATATTTGTGTTAGTTGCGGAAGAAGTCCGGCAGGACATCCCAGAATGCAATTTCGATCAATTAACAGGAGTTTCGCGAGGTGGATAGGCTTTGTATATATATCACGAAAAGCAACTGAAGGTGAAAAAATTTTTTGAAAGGGTTGAAATGTAAGCTTGATACGATGATATTCTTGTCTAAACCTTGGCTTGTTCGTAAAAACCCACAAATCAATCTGTTTATGTTACGAAACCTCATTTATCATTACGTGAACCAATTAAACAATTTTTCTATATTTAAAAGAAAAACTAAACAACGCAAACAACTATATAAAGCAACTTAAAAGTGAAAAAAAAAAGTAAACAAAGTAAAGAATATATTAAATAGAAAATATTTAAGTTTATCTGTAAGAAATCAAATTTTAAACAAAAAACTGGACAAATTTGAAAAAGGAATGTTTATATACTCCAAACTTAAAGACAAAGCAAAGTAATTTAAATATTTACGTGGTCTATTGATCCAGCAATTTACACTCCGATATAATTGTGTAGCATTATACTGTCACTTAATTGAATATCCAACTTGTAAAGGTACAGGAATCAAATTTCTTTGTCTTCAAAGTCATAAGCTCTTATATTTCCCTGATGATGCCTTCTGTTTTTGAAAAAACTTGCCCTGTTGAAACCAATACTGTTGTAGATGCTACTGAACTTATATTTCAACAATTAATCAATTATGACCTGAACATTTTAATGTTTTCAAGTTATAAAAATTGTACAACAGGAAAAAATTTAATTGGAATCTCTCCAAATGGCCCAGGTTTGCTTTTTGGAGACATATATCTTTGTTCCAACACAAATAATGAATTAATAAAACAAACTTATATTTTAGAACCAGTTTATGAAGGATAGGGCTATTGCTCTTGACATATCTAAGACTTTCGACAAAGTTTGGCATGCTGGTATTTTCCATAAGCTTTGTTTCTTTCTAACCGCTCTATTAAATTTATCCTCAAAGGCCAATACTCTTCTTTATTTCCTGGAACTGGAAATAAAGAAGAGTATTGGCCTTCTTCTGTATTAGATTTGGGCTCACAGTGGCTTGTAAATTTTAACTCAAACAAAATTCAGTTATTTACTGCAAACAAAAATCACAATACTGTAGACATTCCTATATTAATGAATGGTAATCCTTTCACTGAGTTCTTTTCTTTACATCTTTTTGGATTATCTTTTACAACTAATCTTTCAAGGAAATTATATTTACAATCAATTGCTAAACTAGCATCTGCTAAGTTTGCTTCTTTTTATCATGCACGCCATTTTCTCTCTCGTAATTCTATTCTCTACCTCTTCAAATCTCTTATTCGTCCCTGTATGGAATACTTATGTCAAATTTGGACTGGTTTTTCTAAAAATGCACTTTTTTTCTAGACAATATCCAAAAACGTATTGTAAACGTAGTTGAAACCGCTCTATCTGCTAAGCTTAAGCCTTTTTTCATTCTTCATAAAGCTTCATCTCTTTCTCTTTTCTACAAATACTATCATGGTCGCTGCTTAAAGGAGCTATCATTCCTAGTTCCATCAACTAAAACTCATTCTCGCTTAACTTGCCATTCAGCAAATTCTCATTCTTTTACTGTATCTGTAATGTTTTTAATGATCTTCATGTTTTACTGACTCACACAACCTTCAATTTTTTAAGTCTTGTCAACCGTTTCCTTGTTCTACTGCTCTATTCTTTTTTTCTAATAACTCCTAACTTAATAGTAGCTGCTTGCAACCTTGTTGGAAGTAAATCAGAATGAAAAATATTTATATATATTTGTACACAAACACAATAATATTTTTTGTCCCTACAGCTGAATTATTAGTACCCAGACATTTCCGTGTAAAAGTGGACAATATATATATATATATATATATATATATATATATATATATATATATATATATATATATATATATATATATATATATATATATATATATATATATATATATATATATATATATATATATATATATATATATATATATATATATGAATTTTTTGATGTCGTAACCTTATGATGTTTCAAAAAGATGACCTAACCTTATGATGTCGTAACCTTATGATGCTTGGTAGAAGAGCAATTTGTGTTTTAGCTAAAGATTGGTTGATGTCTTCACAGTAAAAGTGAAAAACTGATTGCAGATGATTACCCAACATCAACTTTTTATTGACTTAAGAAGAACTTCCTGAAGATCAATATATATCTTATAATAAGGTTGATCAAACCTATGTTTTGTAAAACTGATAATAAGATTGAAAGCTTCAAAATACAATTGGCAATAATTTTCTTTTTGAAGAATCATGGAAATGATGGGTTTTTAGACCCCCTGGCCCCCTCCCTGGTGGTTACGGCTCTGTACATAGTAGCCAATGCTAGTTAGGCGGATTTGTACTATTCCCGACGATATATATTTTATATATTGCCCATTTTTACACGGAAATATATATATATATTATATATATATATATATATATATATATATATATATATATATATATATATATATATATATATATATATATATATATATATATATATATATATATATATATATATATATATATATATATATATATATATATAACCTACCCTGTCCAACCCTGTTGATTATTTCGAACACACCACGGACCAGGTGTTTTATTCAAAAGAGAAAATTTTCCAAGTATCAAAAAGATTACTCAATAAAGTTGAAAATGTTTGCATTCGAAATAAGCGACGTCTATTGTTTACACGCGTTAATCCAAATACCCATAAGAAAAACTTATTATCTTATAGTAGAAGTTATTTTTGTTGCAAAATAATTTTTTATTTTAAATTTTATTGGAATTTTCTTTTCTTTAAAAATTATGGAAAATTATTTACTGATTTTAAACTATTTTTAGTTGATCTCAAGGCATCCTACAGCGCATGCTCTCCAGAACGATTCGTGTCTAATTAATTTATATTTTGTATTTTGTTATTCAAGTGTTTTTTTGTGCCGAATTTATCAAAATTGTTATCATAATTCTTTCTAACAAAAACAAAATCAAAGCGTTATGCTTTGATTATTTGTATTGACTATTTGTATCGCAGGTTATCCATTTTTAAAAAGATCTTAATATTTAGTTGAATTATATGTTTTATCAATAATATAACAACTTTATTGTCATAAGTCTATTCAAAAACTATAACTGTATGAGCAAATTTAATTTAAATAAACGTAATTTTGTTTAGATACAAACTAAACAAGACACACAAACGCACACATACAGATATATTTGTATGTATTTATGTATGTATGTATGTATGTATGTATGTATGTATGTATGTATGTATGTATGTATGTATGTATGTATGTATGTATGTATGTATGTATGTATGTATGTATGTATGTATGTATGTAAACCATTTAAACCTTTACAGTGTCAAGATTTTTTGCACCTTATCTTTAGTTAGTCAAGATATTTCTTGAAAGAAAATTTGATAATGAAAAATTTTCATATAAGCAAAATTTTTGTTGTAAATTCTCTTCAAACTTTTTGTTGTTGTTGTATTATAAAACAAGTTTTAGCGATAACAGGACTTAGCACCGAAATGTAAAAAAGTTAACTAAATATTTTCTTGTTGAAAATAACAGTATTAACATATTTATATGTCCATTGACCACATTAAGACTGAGATGTTTCAAATTTACTTCTTATGTATATATGATATTATAAAAGTTTGTTCCAGAAATGTCCTCAGGGTTTCAAAAATTTAATAGGTAAAAATATGTCAATAATAGATGTATGAAAGAGTGATAAGAGTGCGGGATTAAAAATACCAAAAATTTAAACTTCTCTTGTTATTTAGAATGTTTAGCAGTTTTCTAAAAAATTTTAAATTAAGGTGTTGTTATATTTGTTTTAAACTGCTTATCTTATGTCAACTGCTTATAAACTGCTTATCTTATGTCAACCAAATTCAAAGAGTTAAAACTCAAAAGAGTCTCGAAAATATCAGTAAAGTTTTTGTATTATTTGAAAAAGCCTCAAACCAAAAAAATCTTGGTATAATTTTTCTATAAAAGAAACATTTTAAAACTTTGTTTAGTGTAGTGACAAAGTTTGTGAAAAGTTAAATTACTTGTAAAAAAAATTTAATTTTTATATAAGGAAAGGGTTTATAATAGAATAAAAGAATAGTGTAAAGATACAAATTACTGGGTACTCACTATAATAATTGATTTGAATATATTTTTTTAACAAAAAACAATCTGTTCTGATATAGGAAATAAATTTCCTTAAGTAGAACTGTAAAAGTGTTGGAAATGTAGAAATTAAGTAGAAGTGGTAGATTAATAAATCTAAATTTAGCTCTAATAATGGTGAAATTATTAAAGTCTTATAAGGTTAAAAGCATAGTGGGGTTATAATTTTATATTAATTATTTATCGAAGGCTTTCAAATTTATTTTTTTACTGTAAAGAATGATTTATTCCTTAGATGTTCCAATTTAGGCTACTTTTCTCCTAATGTTCAAGATGGTTTTAAAAGTTATAAGTATCAGCTGTCAAGTTGTCATTTTCATCTTTAAGGATCTTATATATTAATTAATTTAAATATTTTTTTATCTTTGGTATGTTTTTGTAATATTTTCTTTTTTCGTTAAATTTTTTACAGTTAAAATACATTAATTGAATTATTAAGTTTAAAGACGCGTAAAAAAAAAAAAAAAAAAAAAAAAAAAAAGAAAAGGAAACACCTTAACAGCCTGAAATAGTGATAATAATTTAAGAATGTTAATTTTTTTTTGTTGTTTCATATTTCTAATTTATAAACATTTTTTTTTTCAGAAATAGTTGGATGGATGTTTTTTGTTATAATTTAGTGTAAAAAAATATTTACCAAAACAATATGATAAATAATGGGAAACAGTTGCTTTAAAAATGAGCCCACATATGCAAGATATCATTCAAATACAAAAAACAATGAACCAAATTTAGATAATGTTGTTGGTTCTCTATTAGAAATGGACCCAAGTCTTCAAGATCGCGATGAAGGTGTAACAAAGATAAATTCATGGATAGAGGAGATCGGACCAGAGATGTGCATGTCACCTGAACACTTAGAGATAAGTCGTTGGAAATGTATTAAGTATTGGGAGGCACAACATACTTGTGATATATACGGAAATGAATATTCTTCAGGGCTTAAACTGACTGGATCATGTGTAAGATTTTATTTTGAAAAGAGACTTGATGGTTCACCACCACGTTTAGTTATTGAGCATTATGGGAGATCTGTTAATATGCCAAATAATGAGTCAAAACTTTTATCTACATGGGCTCATAACTTAAGGAATTCATTCAGACGTAAAAACAAAACCTTGAAAATTTTCTCCAATGACAGTGCTGGAGACAAAAGTTTATAATTTATTTGGCTATAGTTTTATCAAGGTTTTTGTTAAATTCTTCTATAAGAAAAATAGAAGTGGTAATATCTTTTTTTTTTTCCCTGTTATTTTATGTTGTTTTTTTTATTTTGAATGCTTTCAATGAGTAATAGTGATTGTTTTTTGAAAAAAAAATTTGAGTTAAACTATTTGCCCTAATTTCAAAAATGTTTTAAAAATCTATTTTTATATTTTTTAAACAATTTTCTAATCTCATACAGCATTTAAATATTAAATATTTTACACTTGATTAAAACTTTTTTTGTTAGTTATAAAATGAACAACAAATATTCTTTTATGTTCCTAACAGCCTAAGTATATTTAAAATTTTCAATAATGGAATAACAAAAAAACAACCATTGGTAAAGCTAAGATATTTGGAAATTTGTATTGATATTTTATAATTAGAATATGCTATAAATCATGTGCCTTTTTTTGTTTGTTTTTTTTTGTTTTTTTTGTTTTGAGTTATCTTCTATCGAAGTTAACTTTTGTTTTAAGTTATTTTGACTTTATAAAAATGTAAGAATTATTACTTATATGTAAAGTAAAATAATATTTTATTTGTTTTAATAATTTAATTTATTATATATAGAGATTATAATTTTAGAATTACACAGGTTTGTGTATTATTGTTATGTATAGTTCATGTTTTGTGTTAACTTAATAAATTTTGTAGAATTTAAATTAGTTCTTCTCTTTTTTTTTTCTCTCTTACCATATTTTATACTATTTAGTTCCTTTGTTGCACATTTTTTTAATTTATCACATATTTTTTATTATTGTATATTTATTTTCAATCAAAAAATTTGATAATTATTATTTATTTTTACTGTTGGATATACTTTTTCAGTTCAAACCAAAAAATGTCTAAAATTGGAGATCCACGTCTCGGAGATCTTTTGCAAGTACCTTACTCTGGTAATAAGAAAGCAAAAGTTGCAATTTTGGGGTATCCATGTGATATTGGAGTTGAACGGAACAATGGTCGTGTTGGTTCTAAAAATGGACCTTGTTGTATTCGCAAAAAGTTAGAAAAAATGGGTACAGTAATCAATCCAGAATTTAATATTGATTTGAATAATATTCATTTTGAGGATCGTGGCGATATACAGATTAGTGATACGCTTGAAAATAATCATGAAATTTTAGCATCAGAAGTTTCTAGTTTGTTAAATGATGGTTTTATAGTTATTGTTGTTGGAGGAGGTAATGATCAAAGTTATCCCAATGCTAAAGGCCTCATGTCTTCAATGAAATCTGGAAATATTGGAGTTGTTAATATTGATGCTCATCTTGATGTGCGTCCTCTTATTAATGGCAGTCTCGCTCATTCAGGAAGTCCTTTTCGCCAATTGCTTGAGGATGATATGTATATTAAAGATAAGGGAATGTTTTTAGAATTTGCTAGTCAAGGCAGTCAATGTTCTGCAGAGCATGTAAAATATATCCAAAGTAAAAGCGGTAAAATTGTATGGCTATCTGAGATACATAAGAAGGGTGCAAATGAATGTTTTAAAAATGTCCTTAACGATCTTCAGGGTCGACCATTGTTTGTTTCTTTTGATATTGATTCTATAAAAGGCGCCGATTGCCCAGGCGTTAGTTGTCCTTCTGTTATTGGGTTATCTGCGCAGGATGCTCTTGATATTTGCTTTTTAGCAGGTAAAAATACTTATACCAAGTTATTAGATTTAAGTGAGTTCAATCCAAACATTGAAGAAGATCGCACAGCTAGATTGGTTGTTAACATGATTTATTATTTCTTACTGGGTATAGCTGAAAGATAGAATCTCAAAAAGTATTAGTGAAGCCTGAAAGTTCAGTTTTTTGCTGTGTTTTTTTTATATATTTTTTTATTTTACCCATTATTACTTAAAAATATTTTAATTTGTATCAGTTAAAAATTATTTTTAGTCAATTGTAATTTTCCGACCACTTACAAACAATATTTTATAAGTTTATGCCTGAATTACTTTTTTCTCTAGATCAGTGTGACCAAAGCTTATTTGAGCAGTGTGTGACCGTTCTGAAAAATCAAAAAAATAATATACAAGCGATAATATAAAATAGATAATGTAAACATAAAAAAAAATCTAATTTATTTGAGATACTTATTGATAAAAATATATCTTGAAAAGCCTGTATTAGTACAATATTCACCAAAGTTTCAAAAAAACACTAAGATAACGGGTGATTCGAACAAATCAGATAATCTGAATTTAATTATTTGAGTATAAAAGTTTTTGTGGTTTTATGCGCAGTCATGGACGTTCTATAAAATATAAACTTTATTATTTGAAACGCTATTATTTAAAATGAGGTTAAATGTAGCTGAACGAGAATCTTTTCGAAAGCGACTCAAAATGTTTTTTGTATAAACCTAATATACAAAAAAAAAAAAAAAGAAATTGTAAATCATTTTAAAAAGGAAGGATTTGCTTGAAGTATAATATATGATAACCTAAAAAGACTTGAAACTTTTCAAATAGAAAGCACCGTGGTCGTCCAATATCCTGAACTAGAGAAAAGAAAACCGAATTAACGAGACTTATCTACAATCGAGAAGGGGTCAGTCAGAGAAAAAAAGGTTTTAAATGAATCAAGAATCAAATCAAGAGTTAAATCAAAAAAGAATCAAGAAAAAAGGTTTTAAATCAATCAAAAATTAGAGAGAAAAGTTAGTTGTTAGTTTAATAAAAAATGAATATTAAATATAGAAAACGTGAAAAGACTCCAAAATACCCTAAAAACCAACAATTAAAGGCAAATAAAAGAAGTAAGAAACTAGTTAACCAACTCTATAACACAATCGCTTCTGGTTATCGATGACGAAAAATACGTTGGTTTTGCAGGGGACAATATGTCTGAACATTCTGGATACTACACAAGCAACAAAAAAACATGCCCAGAAAGTGTTCGTTTTATAGAAAAAGAGAAATTTCCAAAAAAAATTATTGTGAATAGCCATATCTAACCGTGGTATATCCGAGCTATTGTTTCGAAGCTGTAGAAATTAATTCATCGATCTATATTGATAAATGTATACAAAATCGACTTCTTCCATTCATTCACAAGTATCATGGAGACTTTAATTATTTATTTTGGCCAGATTTAGCAAGTTCTCATTATTCTAAAGATTCTCTAAATTGGGTGGACCAATATGTCTATTACGTTAATAAAGAACCCAATCCCCCAAATGTGTCTCATGCACAACCAATTGAAAATTTCAAGGACATTTGGCACGAGGGAGATTGGCAAGCTTCAACAGAAGAGGTTTTGATTGATCAAATTAAATTAAAGCTACAAAAAATCGGTTTAAATTTTTTACAGTCACCTATAAAAAGCGTCAGAGCGAAATTGCAATTGGTGATCCAGATCAATTGCAAATGTTTTTTCATTTAAAAAATAACTTATTTTTATTGAAAGATAAATACTTTATTTAAAAAAAATATAATAACAGTATTTATTTTCATTTTTAAATAAGTTATTGACGTTTTTATTTTGTCCGATAACTGACGAATCACCCTTTACTCTACAAAGTAAAAAATTGGCAAATATAACACGGGCAATTGCATCTTCTTTATATAAGTCAAAAATATGGATCAAGATTAGTTTTTAATAAAATTAATTCATATATGCTGAACTCTTAATAAAAACCTTGAATGCACTAAACGTCTACTAAATTAACATCAATCAAAATATTTTATTCATGCTTAAATACAAACATAAATTAGTCCCATCTTATATTTCAGATAACTTATTTAAAATTAAAACAAATAGAAGAACAAGAAATTTTAGCCTGAAAAAAAATTACAAAATTTTTCTATTTAATATTTAAAACGTTAAATAATCTTTTTAACCAAAATTTTCACTCAAAAAAAAGGTAAAAAAAATATCTCATGGTTTACAATTTTATTTAAATATTTTTTTTTAAATTTTCAAAAAAACAAAAGGTATAACATCTCATGCTTTACAATTTTATTTAAATTTTTTTTTTTTAATTTTCAAAAAAAAAAAGGTATAACATCTCATGCTTTACAATTTTATTTAAATTTTTTTTTTTTAATTTTCAAAAAAAAAAAGGTATAACATCTCATGCTTTACAATTTTATTTAAATATTTTTTTTTAAATTTTCAAAAAAAAAAAAGGTATAACATCTCATGCTTTACAATTTTGTTTAAATATTTTTTTTTAAATTTTCTAAAAAAAAAAAGGTATAACATCTCATGCTTTACAATTTTGTTTAAATATTTTTTTTTAAATTTTCTAAAAAAAAAAAGGTATAACATCTCATGCTTTACAATTTTATTTAAATATTTTTTTTTTAATTTTCAAATAAAAAAAAAAAATGCAGCTATTGATGAAGAAACACTAATATTAGCACACAATTAAAATGAAATAATAGATATATACCACTGTAGACAGATAAATTTGACTGTCAGATAAGAACCAGACAATTTGAGTTTGTCACATGCTGTTACATACTCCACTTCAAAAACTTTGGCAATATTTTCATTTATCTGAATAATTGAGCCAATGATTAAAAATGAAAAACTACTTCTAAATAAAACAGTATTTGGCTTATAAACGCACAATATTTAAAATAAAATATCAAAATAAACCAAATAATAAAATTTACCTTTGTAACTATAACATGATACCAAATGTTGTTATGTTGCATAGCCACATAACTGTCTCTTTTATACACAGCTTGCTCATCTTTAATGAAATGCACCTTAATAAAAAAATGCATTGATAATATAAGCAATTAATAATAGAATAGTAAGTATATTTAAAAGTCAAAGAATTCCTTGTTATTGTCATTAAACTCTGGCAATACTATATTTTAAATATTTCAACAATTTATACAATTATATAGCAACGAACTTTGAACATGAGAAAATCTAAATTTACTTTTTTACTGGTAGAATCCAACGAATCCCTTGAAAGAAAGGCATGACGATAAATTGTTAACATGCAGTTTTGAGATTCATCTGAGATAGAAAAGGTCACTCGAAAGATTGTGACTTCAGCATCAAAAATCATGGAACATTATGAAAAAGAGCAAACGACAAAACTTCTATTGCGGAACATTTCATAAGTTTCTTTGCAATATTTGGCACTAACATGGCTTTCAAAATTCAATGTCCTAATACCTCTTTTGAAACCTATCTATAAATAGGTTTCATCTGAGGTAGATCTGTTATAACAGATCTACATAGCGAACTAAAATTCAATGAACTAAGTTATGATGAACTCGAAGTTGCAAAAAACTCCCTAGAAATTAACATAGCACCAGGAATCAAAAATATTTGTAGCAATGTAGTAACAAGTGTCTTTTATATAGAAATATTAGAATTATTATACTCATATTAGAAATTTTTTTTCTTCAATTATAACAGGAACTATTACAGATAAAAAAAAAAAAATTGTAAAATTTGTACCAATATTTAAAACCGGAGCGCCATTTTCACTAAATAATTACAGACCGATCTCAATCTTTCCTGTCTTTTCTAAACTTCTTGAACTAATAATTTACTATAAACAATATGAATATCTAACTAATAACAATGTTTTAAATAAAAAAACAACTCGGGTATCAAAATCAACATTTAGCCAAATTGTATATTAGATCTCGTAAATATATTAAATGACGCTTTTGATAACAATAAACTTGTTCTAGGAATCTTTATCAATTTATAAAAAGCATTTGACACTGTTTATAATACTATACTACTTAAAAAAATGGAAAAATATGGCATTAAAAATCTAGTTTTACACCGGTTTGAGAGATTTTTATAAACAGGCATTAATGTGTTATTACGTATGAAAATATCCATTCAAAATTGCTTAATGTTAAATGCATATATATTAATTAAATCAACATAAACTGAATGCCATAATGTTTGCAGATGATACTAATTTGTTTTAATCATCTATTTCTATCACAGAACCTTTTGAAACTGCAAGTGTTGAACTTAAAAAACTTAAAAAACTTGGTTTAAATCAAACAAATTATTATTGAATAAAAAACCAACTCGAATTATTCGAACGAATTATTCGAACGTTCTCTTGCTTTCCACTCAAAAAAAATTTATATCTTTAAGTATCTTTATTTTTCTTTTTACAAACCTATTATTCATATGGTAACATAGCAATTAAAATTCGTGCATGTCGGTCAATGTATTAAGTATAACAAGCCATGTAATCATATATTTATGCGTACCAAATAAAGTTTTCATCTGTTTTTGATTATCTAATAGCTTTTTATATGTCACTGATGTTTTTTTTAATGCTACCATAAGACTTTGCTAAACTGAAATTTTTTATAAATTAAGTATACAAAAATATTACAACTAAAAGCGGAAAATTGGAAAATGAAGTTGAGAACATGATTTTATATTTGATTAAAACAATTTTTCATTACTATTTATTGCCTATATTATCAGAATGAGGTTGTAAATACCAGCTAACATGTGCGTATCAAACTCAATCCAATCTATAAATGAGACACTACAGGCATTACTTTAACAGAAAAAAGGTTACATAGTTGTCTGTCTTTTCTTGCTTTTGTCTTTCCTAATAGTAATAATACGTTACGCTAAAAAGAAGAATGATTTGATAGTCAGCTGGGGTAGATCCAGACCAACTAGTAAGCAAGAACGATTTTCAGGCTTTTTTAATTTGGTGGATTCAGATTTCCAGTGAAGAAACTCGAAAACTAAAAAAAAAATTAAAATAAAATACGAAAAGCAGGTAAAAAATATCAATTCTTTCTAAAACCAGCAATTGTAAAAAATAAAAATAATAATTTGAAAAAAAAAACAAAAATTCATGTGAATTCGCTATTCTTTCTTACTAATAAATATTTTTTAAAAAAAAGTGCAATAGCCTACAGAGAGCCTTTGTGATGCCTTGGGTCATTTTTTGGTCGGTATCTCAAATTTTGGCTTCTTGAATATATTTAATTAAACATGATTTTCACTGTTTATTAGTTGTTACTTGTTTATCATGAATTTCTTTGTTTAATGAAAACAATATTTGTTTCCATATTAAGTATCGTTAAAGATTTCAAAGATTCAAATGTACACAAAACACAAAATTTTAACAAATGTTGTTCAACCCTCTTTATTAACGGGACAAAAATAAAAAAATTTTAAACGGACAAAATTAAAAAATTATAAAGCTCGTGAATACTCCCGTTCTACATATACTGTTAGCTGTTTTTCACAATATTTTAATAAAGATTTTAAAAATTTGTTTGTAAACAAGGAGTGTGGGTTATAGTTTATCGACCTATACCTGTCTACAATAAACATCTGCAGAGTATACTCCGAAGAACAGCATCGTTTGGAAAGCAATACTTGCAAGTTGCTTAAAAATATAGACAATTTTGAGCTGTTTTTTATGGAGTCTTGAGATCCCACTGCCAAATACATTTAAGTACTTAGAATTTTCTAGAAAATAGCCATGGCTGTTTTAGAAATTCATTAGGCTCTACTCAGTCAATGATACATAGCTGTTCACTACAAGCAGTAAAAATATAAGGGGGATGGGTAGGGGGTTGCGATTCCTTGAAAGTACATATTGAGCAACAATATCGAATTCATCGATATAAAAAGTGGAGCCTTCGATATAATAAATAAATTCTAAGTTTGAAAAAAAAATTTATTATAATAATAGTAAATAAAGTCTTGTTATTACAATATTACAATAGTTAAATTGTAAAGTTTGTATAAATTACGATGATTATTCAGGTGAATAAGAAAAGTTGGAGAGCACAACCCAAACTATATTGAAGCGCTAAAAAAAAGCAAATGTTGCTTACAACTACAAACACTTTTAAAGTAGCTTTTAATTTGCTGGTAGCTTGTAAAAAGTAAAATATTAACCTCCTATGAACAATTGTATAATATTATATTTGATATATGATATAGTGATATATGATAAGCAAAAAGTAGATAAAATCTAACCACATATACCAAATAATTTTTTTTCATAGTGATAAAGTGATTGTATGGACTCCTAATACCCCTACCCTTGGGTATGGTAACCTAAAAAATTTTTGAGACCATAATTTACGGTCTTTAAAATTTATGTTTTCGGCTCGTAAATAAAATCGCACTTTCCCGGTTTTCAAATTTGCGGTATGCGTCTAAGCCACCATTTTAAATTAAACCTCATGCTTAGTTAAAAAGATTGTGTTTTTTTTTGAAATAATTATCATTAAACAACTTTCCTGAAAGAGTTCAATAAAGAAAAATTTTAATTCTAAATATAATTGATTACAAAAAAAAAAAGTTTTATTTTCTTTTCTCTGTAATGTAGAATATATAAAATAAGTTTAATAACAATCTCTTAAGTTTAAAACGAAATGTAAATATTGATTAATCTTGAAATGAAAACAGCATTTTCTAAACGTAAAAATTTTGTTCATTGCATCGAATCAGGGACTTGATTATTTATGCGACTATTTTTTTTAATTTAAATTATTTATGCGACTATTTTTTTTAGGTATACATATTATTAATATGTATACCTATTACTTAATATTATTGAGTTATAATTTAATATAAAAAAAAGCAATTATGGCATGTATATGAAAATGTAGAAAAAAAGGGGAGGTCAATATGCACTCGTAAAAGAGTAGATTTTTTTCTTTCTTAAAATAAAATGCATTTAAATATTTTAATTAAAAAAATAGTACCATACAATCAACCATGCTGCTAAAAATTGGCAAAACAAAGTGTGTTTAAAAAAACTTAGTTAAAAAGTTACTACACCTTTTTTCTATGCTAAATATCGTGTTTAAAGTACAAATAAGATTTAAAAATTTATTTTAAAATGTAGTAACATGGTCCAGTAATTAAATGTATTGCAAACTGTAACATAATTCTTTTTCCTAATTCTTAGCAGCATACAAGCTAACCCCAGTTTAATAATTAAACTGGTTTGTTTGTATACAAAAAAACAAAACCAGTATACAAGCTTGAAACCTTTTAAAACATTAAACTTTAAAGTATGGTCTTGCTTTTAATGCTGGTTTTGTGCTTTAAGTTTAATATCCATTGTTTTTCATGGTCAACTTGTTGTAGCCAAGTATTTTATTATGATGCTACCACAAGGAAGATGATGTATTTAAAGAACTATGTTAAAGTTTGTAATACATTTTACTATTGGAGCATATTACTGTATTTTATTATGTACTGTATATATCAGGGTGTTAACTGGGGAATTCACGATGAGTTTAAAATTCCCAAAGTTTGATGACCTTTTTTTATTTGTTAAAATTTCTAATATTTTGTAGAACAATTACAATAAATACTGCCAATAAATAAAAAATGTGGTATAAAAAATATTCCTGGCTAACACCCTGTCTATGTTAGGGTGTCTTTAGATAAAAGATTAAAATAAAGATAAAAAAGTTCTAAAAATAATAAAATTTCGTAAACCTTTTACATGAATATAAAATTGTATATAGATTTATATGAAATTAATAGTTTTTTATTAAAAATAAAGAACTTGAACTTGCATAAGTTTTTTTATATACTTTTGTTTTTAAACTATGGTAATTATTCTATATATATATATATATATATATATATATATATATATATATATATATATATATATATATATATATATATATATATATATATATTATATAATAATATATATATACATATATATATATATATATATATATATATATATATATATATATATATATATATATATATATATATATATATATATATTATATAATAATATTAAATAATATTATTATAATATATATATATACATATTTACATATATATATATATATATATATATATATATATATATATATATATATATATATATATATATATATATATATATATATATATATATATATATATATATATATATATATATATATATAGAACAGCATACACGTAAATAGTATATAAATAATAACCTTTGTTTAAAGACAATGTACCAAAGTTTCAAAAATTCCAAAAGCAAATCAAAGACAATATGCTATACTGTTGGTAAGTATTTTTAAATGCTTATAATGCATTTGTGATTATTAAAAGTGAATTATTACCTTTTATTACGTCTGTATTTTTACCCAGAAGTTTTTAATTTCACCAAAAAGGTGAAATTAAAAACTTCTACTAAATTGACAATTGACACATATTCCATATGAAGAGAATTTTTGACTAGCACACCACACTGTATAATAATGATATTAGTTAGTTTAATATTGTTTAGCAATATTATTAAGTAAACTTATAATGTTAATAAAATTATAAACAATAATATTTTTCTATATTTATAATTGTTTATTACATTGCTTTAGGGCGTCCACCATGGTATAATTCACATGGGCAAATGAAAGAGGCATTTCTAATAGGTTTGTTTTTTTCTTGTTTTTTTCATGTTGTAACCAGAAAACAGTTTTGAAAATATTTTTTATTTGTTGAGTATTCTATTGATGACTTGTTTTTTTGTTTTTTTTCAAAGGTATGAAATTTATAAAAAATTACTAAAGCTATGTTTTAAAGGCAGAAATTATTTCATTTTTTATTTTGTAATCTGCATAGTTTTGATAATCTTTATACTGTTTTTAAACAGGATTGTGCGGAGGAAGTGCTTCAGGAAAAACCACTGTTGCAAAAGATATAATTGATGTTTTGGGTGTACCTTGGGTTGTTATTATATCACTGGACTCCTTTTATAAAGTTTGAACATTTTAAAAATTATTTATCATAAGTATTATATAAAATTTTTAAAAAGTTTTGAATTAAATTAAAAAGTTTCAAAGTCTTGGTGTAATTCATTAATTAGTGGTTTATCATCGGTACTTCTTGATTCATATCAAAGCATATCAAATGGTGCCAATAATTGGACATGGATTTGTTTTGTACATTGTGTTAAAATGTTATTAAATGAACAAATATTATTTTTAATGAATTCTTCAGAACATTTGTCTACAATTTTTAGAAGTCAAGGTCTTGAGTTTTAAGACTAAACATACAGATACAGAAAACATAAGATACAGATTATATTAAAACTATATTATAAAGGTTTTATATTAAAATGTTAGGCATTGAAAAAGAATTAACAATGCTGCTTTTATTTGTCATTTAAAATTTTAAATATCTGTAAATCATCAAAAATGATACATATTTAGTAAAGTAGAATTTTATTTATTAATGCAGGTTTTAAGTCATGAAGAACATCTCCTTGCAGAAAAATCAGAGTATAATTTTGATCATGCAGATGCCTTTGATTGGAAACTTGCTTGTGAAACACTTAAAAAACTAAAAGAAGGAAAGAGTGTACAAGTAACTAAACTCTTTTTTTTTTTAATTGTTAGAGTCATATTTTTTTAAATTTGTTATTCAATTTCCATAACCAAAAACATTTACAAATAAATATATTTTAGATAAAAGCTTTTCCACAATATTTAATCTATCTTTAAAGATAAACTTTTTACCTATTATTATTACTTTATTTTTAATATTAATTAAAATTTTAGTTGTTTTTTATTTTTTAAACATCTTCAATTCCAACAAGGCTAGATAAGCAAAAACAAAACAAGATAAGCAAAAACAAAACAAGATAACGATTAACAGACAACTTAAATGTTTGCAAATTACATGAATCAGGAAAGCAAAATGAATTTTAGGTTAAAATAAATCTTATTTTGGCTTAAGTTACTAAAAATTATTTTTTATATAATTAAAGTATTATAAGTTATTCAAATTATATTATAATTTTAACTAAAATTGCAAAAAATTAATTTTTAAAATTTTTAAATGTCATAAATAATTATCATCTCCCTTGGGGAGCAGTTTTGTTTTATTACTTGTTGTATGTCAATAGGGAATTACGATTAGTTAATATTAAACTTTTCTACTATTATTAGGAGGTGTTATTATTTCAATTTATCAATTATATATCTCTACGAAGAAAAAAAAAATTTAAAGTGTTTTTAAAATTTAAAATAGTAAAGTTATCCATATGGAGAAATACCTTCATCCTGAAAGATTTGACGCAAATACAAATTCTTCAAAGTCAAGTAAAGAATGGATTCAGTGGTTTAAAACTCTCCAAAACTGCTTTTATTCCTTCTCACCTATTTTAAGTTATGCCTCATTCTACTCCACATTTTTCACCATCTTGAGCAATTGTTTTATTAATCATTAATCATTTTTTTCATCTTTTTTACAAAAATATCTCTCTTAAGAACCATTGTCCTTTTATTATTCCAAGAAGCCAATGTAAAAAAGGTTCTGTCTGATGTTAAGCTCTATTATTCTCAGTTTACTAAATCTTGCATCTTATCTCATATGTAAGGTTCTAGAGACTTTTGGTTAGTCTTCAACAGTGTCGTTAACTTAACTAAGTCTAACATTTAATCTTAAATTCGTGGGTCTGATCTTTTATTTCTTCTCAAAATAAAGCAATGTTATTTTCCAAAAAATCTTACTCTAATTTGACTCTTGAATCTAATGGCCATACTCTTCTTGCCAGTTACACAAATTAACCCATTGTTAAACATCCAAATCGCTCTGGCTTCCAATGCTAAAGTAAATTCTCAATTAAACACTTCTACAGTTTGTGCACCATACAAGATTTCCATCGTAGTCTTAAAAAAGTGTTCTCCAGAACTCTCCTCAAATTTTGCTAAATTTTTAAAAAGTGCTAAATAAGTGGTTCAGATTTTTCAAAACTCTAGAAAACACTTTGACCTCTACAATTATCTTACGATTAGTCTTCACTCTGTTATTAGTTTCTTTATATAAAGGTTTTGAGATTATTAAATTATTCTTTTCTAACTGCAGTATTAAAGTTATTCTTGAAAGCCTACATCTTCTTTATTTCAAGTAACTTTGAGGGTACTGCAAGGTTCTATCTTTGTTCCTGTATTGTTTCTATCTATAACATCAATCTTTGTGAAAATTTTACATATAAACTGGCTTTATTTGCTTTATACGCATGTCTTGACAAAAAGTCTTCACTTTTTGATTGCTTAGAACAAGCAGCCAATTTTTAATCTGATTTCTCCTCTGTAACAACCTAAGGCTTGCAGTGGCTTATGGATTTAAATTCTGGACTTAAAGTCCACAATTTTTGTTAGACAACAAATCTCATTTACTGCAACTTGAGCCACTTTCTCATTGTTGTAAAGTTGTATTTATTTCTTTTTTCTACAAATACAATCATGGTCAATGCTCAAACAAGCTATCATCTCTTTTACGATAAACCAAAACTCATTCTTGCTTGTTTCTTATTCAACAAGTTGCATCCCTTTACCTTATCTGTCCCATGTTATAAAAACTTTTATAATTCAGTTTTTTTCCTTACACATCAAAAAAATCATATAACTTTTACCCATCTTTATGTTTTTCCTTTTTATACAACCTACAACTTTTTAAGTCTTCAGTTAACTGTTTTCTAGTATTTTAACTTATTCTTTATTTTAAACTGATAACTTAATAGTGGCTGCTTGCAATCTTGTTGGAAGTAAATTAGTGTTTAAAAATATATAAATATATGTATTTAATAAATAATAAATGTAAGTATAATATTATAATATATAAAGTTTTTCTAGCCCCGGCTATCAACCCCAGTTAAATCTAATAATTTTGCCAGGACCAGGGCTAGGTTTGCAAAAGGTCGCATTTTTAAGCGGGGACAGGGCCAGGGCCCTGGTCGCTTACTGGTTCCTATATATATAATAAAAAAAAAAAATTAGCAGAGCTTCATAATGCTCTGTGTCATCCAGGCATAACAAGAAAGAACTATTTTGTCTGCAGTGGGAATTTGCCATAAAAGAAATCAAAAGTGTTGTAAACCAGTGCAACACCTGCTGTGAACTTAAACCTTGATTTTACAAACCACCTAATGTTCATCTTATAAAAGCAACCCAACCATTTGAAAAATTTAATGCAGAATTTAAAGGCCTACTTCCAATATCAACTAAAAATCATTATATCTTCACAATTATCAACGAATATTCATGATTTCCATTTGCTTTTCCTTGTCCTGATACTTCCTCTTCTTTGGCATTAAAATGTTTCAAGAACTTGCTCTCTTTGTTTAGCACCCCTGCTTATATTCATTCTGAGATAGCTCTCTAATATCAGAGGAAGTTTGTAATTTCCTGGTGTTCAACTCAAGGTGTTGCAACTAGCAGAACAATGCCTTATAATCCTAGAGGAAATGGACAGGTAGAGTGCTTTAACAGGATAATATGGAAATCAGCAGCACTAGCTCTCAGATCAAGAAATCTACTAGTTGAAAACTGGGAAATTGTGTTACAAGATGCATTACGCTCAATACGATCGTTACTGTTCACTGCAATAAATGCAACGTCGTATGAGAAGTTCTTTAATTTTCCACAGAGATATTCAAACAGACAATCTATTCCAACCTGGCTGCTAGAGCAAGGGAAAGTATTTGTAAAGAAACATTTTCAATCTAGCAAATACGATCCCCTAGTAGAAAAAGCATAACTAATAGAAGCTGAGCCTCAGTAAGCGCACATTAAATTTCCTAGCGCAAGAAAATCTACAGTATCTATAAAGGTTATATCGCCGATGGAAGATAGTAAAGCTCCTTATTTGGTACAAACAATACCAATCACTCAGAGTATACTTCACAACTCGACATATATCAAAGAGACCATACTTGATCCAGAATGGGACATTATAACGCAATCGCATATACAATCTAGCCATCTTCCTCAACGACTGCAACGAAACCATAGAGCGCCCCAAAGATACGGTTTTGAGGATAAGCAAATTTAATGATTAGGAGAATGTCATAAATAATTACTTAGCATCTCCCTTGGGGAGTTGCGTTGTTTTATTACTTGTGTATATAATTACTACTTTTTATGTATATGTCCCTTAAGGAATTACGATTAGTTAATATTAAACTTTGTATAATTTATGTATGATAGATTAGATATTAAGAGGTGTTATTATTTCTAACTTGTTTAAAATAATAAGTCAACATTTTATTTTCTGATTTTTCTTTAACTTTTTAATGTTCTTAACCAAGAACTACTAAATCACAAGGACACTAAACTGATTATAGCTTTTATTGAAATGCAATTTATTATAAACCTGAAATATTAAAAGACTAAAAGTCTAAAAATAGACTTCAGTAAGTTGTAAGCTACGATAAAGAAAAGTAGTTCAACTAAGGAATGTTTAACTTATACAAAGTAAAGCAATTGTTCTTGCTTTCAAAGGACTATAGAAAATAAGAGATAACAAAAGTTTAAGTCAGGGTTACATTGATGGTGTTCCTAACATGTGTATGTTATATATTAGTGCTTTTAGTGTACATTGTTAAGGTCTCTTAGTATTTTAGTTAATTAGTTTTAAGCTTTATTTTACTTTATGTCTAACTCCTTTGGTAGCTGTCATTTTTAATCATGGGGTTTTTTGTGTTTATCTTTTTCACTTATAAAATCTTGAGAATAAATGTCTTCTCAGATTACTAAGTTTATTCACCATTTTCTTCTGATTCTATTCTTACTTTTCTTTCTTACATCATTTTCTTACTTACTTTTTTTTTTTACACAATTTTTTACTTAATTTTTTTTTTACACCATTTTCTTACTTTTCTTTTTTACACTGTTTTCTTCTGATTACATGCTATTATATTCAAATATAATATATTTAATCTTTATTTTATGGAATTTTGTTGTATTATTTAGGCAGGGGGTTTTAGACACGCTTTTTCCTTTATGGTCCTTTAGGTATAAAAGCATTTTATAATAACATTAAGCAGGGGTGTGGAGTCGTAAAAAAAAAAGTAACGACTCTGACTCCAGTTGTTAAAATTTTTTGAGTGCAACTAGAGTTGCAACCCCAAAAAAAACGGTTTTTAGAACCAGTCTGTTTTTTTTTGCAAAAAAAACAGACTGGTTCTAAAAACATGTTTTTTATAGTTTTTTTTGCTTTTTTTTTTAGTATTCATTAATTTTTAGATAATAATAATACTTGAAACAGTTCCAGTGCCCTTAAACCTACAAAATACAAATGTTTTCTATTTAATAAAATGCATATTAACTTATATAATAGCTGTTACAAACTAATCACCAATATTAAAAAAAAAACACTATTAAATATTTAAAAAAGTAATTTTTTAAATAAATCTCAAAAAAACTACTATTAGCTACTAGTTGATTGTAAGTATAATACTACTGAATGAAGGAAATGAAAATGTTATTTTAGCAGTGTTATTTCATTCATAAAAATGAATGAAATAACACTGCATTGCAAAATACAAAAATGAACCAACTGTTAAATAAAATTTACTTTAAAGTTTTATTTACTTTTGTATATTACTTTTTTAAATTTTTAATATTTAATTTCTTTATTTTATTTTAAATTGCAATTAGATAGCTAAAGTTTTATTTATTCAAACAATATTCAAATAAATAAAAATAACACAATGATTAACTTTGTCTAATGAAAAAACATTTATATTAAACAATTTGTAATTATTTTTAATTAAAAAAAAAAAAGAAATCTAAAAAAAAATATGCCAGGCAGAAAGAAATGTTTTGTAGCTACATTGTTCAATGAGGCACCTTTAGAATCTGGAGGTTCTAAAATTCAACAAGTTATATGCAAATTTTGGAGCTTAAAGCTATCAAAAAATGGCACTCGAATGACTGAGCACATTGCAAAATGTATGAAATGTGGCGATCAAATAAAAAACAAATATTTGAACGATATGCCATTTAAACAGAAGAAAGTTCAAACTGAACTAATGATGGAAGAAGATATTCCTTAAAACTTACCTATTCAAGATATGAAAAAAGAGAAAAAAATATGTTCATCATCTGCTATTCCACAAGTTCCAATTGAGTCTTTCTTTCCAACACCAAGCTGTTTTGGAAACCAAAGTAGGTCTACAACCCCTAAGTTTGGAGACTGTAAGGCAAATAAAACCAAATCAGATAAGCCTCCCTTAAAACGATTGTATTCTTCAACAAGAGTTCCATTCACAACTCAGAAAAATAAAATTGCATCCTACATTTTAGGAGAGTACAAGAGTTTAGAGTCAGAGTTATCAAGCGACTCTGAAGAATACGGATTTGACTTTACAATAGAAGACCTTAATGAACAAGAAAGCCAGAATACAGAATCTGTTATTAATTAAAAATAAATCTTTTAAATGATATACTATATATTTACCATATATCATGTTATTAATATATATTATATTACATTTATAATAAAAATAGAAATTAAATAAAAGTAAATAATTTTTTTTTTAATCTAAAAAACAAAAAAAACCATAAAAAACACAAAAAACACAAAAAAAACACAATTAAAAAAAAAACGGTTTTTTTTGCAACTCTAAGTGCAACTCCGACTCTGGCTCCAACTACAACTCCAAAGCAAAACGTTTGAAAAACTCTTTGAATTCTTTAAAAAGTATTAAGCAATATGTTAAAAAGTTTTTTTTTGACAAATTTATGAAACGTTCTTTAAGGTTTAGTATGAACATAAGGTTGATTGAATGTTTTGTACATGCACGTGCAATACCGAGAAGTTTTACTATAGGAGTTAGAGTCGCGATTTTGTTTAGCGACTCCGACTCCGCTAAAAATGTAGTAACTCCGCAACTCCTGCTCCGACTCCACAGCCCTGGTGTTAAGCATATTAAAATGTAGATGAACATACTTCAGCTGTCAGCCTTGAGCTTGTGTCTCATTGTTGTAAGATTGTATTTCCTACTCTTTTCTATGAATACCATTGTATCTATAAATTTTTTCTCCTAGCAAAACACAATCATACATGACTTTTCATTTAACAAAATTGCAATTTTTTACTTTAAGTGTTCCTTTATTTTGAAAAAAATTTTTATAGTTTTTTTATCAAACATCAATTCTCTAGAATTCTCACTTTTCTTGCGTAGTTAATTTAAAGTCATGTTTTTTTGACTCATACAGTTTACAGCTTTTTAAGTTTTATATAATCTTAACTTTTGAACGCTTAGAGATAGTAAAATAATACTTAAAATTTATAGATGAATATAAATTTAGTTATGAAAAGCAAAAAATTTATTTCATTAACTTGTTGCTTTCACGTTTGAGGCACAGGGAATAAAATTTTAGGGTTTTATTAGTTCCCAGCTTCCAATCATTGAAACTTTTTAAAAAGCATCATTATTTGACATAAGTATAAATACAAAAATGTTTGGATTTCGCTCCATGTTAGCTATCTTGAACACCAAAAAATGCTGGATCCATCACTGCCAGATCTCTTGTTTCTGATGCAAATTTGCTTCAGAATTCAGCGTTTAAATGCTGCAAATGTGCAATAAATATTTATTTACATATAAATTTTCAGCTCAAGACAAATATCTGAAGAAAATATGTCAAAAAATAGTTTATAATGTACTTTTAATGTTCAGAGTTTGCAGTTAGATATTCGATCAAAATCAATTTATTAAAACCATTCAGTAGCGAGAAAGCTGTTGCTGTAGCTAGCTCCTTAAATCCACTTGTCTTCATTTTTTAAATGGTTTTATACAAGAACTCTTAATTTGAAGTAGCTTTTGAAGCTTCTCCAAGCTCATCACACGCTCTACCTTATCTTGAATAAATTTTACTGTAAGCAATTTTTTATTACGAAATATATTTTTCTTAAAACAAAAAATACGTTTCTTGTTTTAATGTCTGAAACTATGCTTAATAGATTTACGGTTTTGCTATGAGTTCTTATGAGTTGTTAGCAACTTTGAAAAATTTTAAAATTTTTGGAATTCATTGTACCCAAAAAGTCTAAGGGAGCCTCATCCGTAGGCATTTTTTCAAACTATGACTTATCATAGAATATCAAAAATTAACCAGTAGTCTGGTGAAGTATACAACTCAAGACCTAGTGGCTGGTTTTTATTAACAAAAACTGCTTTCAGAAGGATTTCAGCTTTGATTCTATTCGTTTTTACACCTTTTCGGACCTCCTTTTTTTTTGAATATATAACTTTTTACCATTTTTATATTGTGATCTCGGTCAAAAGATGCTAATACCATTACCAAACACCTCTAAGGTTTCATCATGACTTGAATTTCACCTCTGCAGCAGGCTCAATATACATCTGCCAATAGTCTTGTTGATCTTAAAAGTGTAAGTTAAAAATAATGCAATGTAGATAAAATAAGATTTAAATTGACATTGCTAAATACTTATTACATTTATTTTTGACAAGTTAAATTCAAAAATTTCTACTGATTTCATTTTTATTATATTTCTACTGATTTTAAGAAAAGTCTGTCATTAGAAAAAAAAATTGGTTTAGAGTTTTTTTTGTATTTTACATCTGATTTTGAACCATTTTGAAAACCATAGTTTTTAAACAATTTGTTACTTTATGACATAAATTACTCCTAAATAATAAGACTAAAATATTAAAATTTATGAAATTAAGTTTTACTTTAAAACTTCAAAAACCGCGATTCCCTGGAAATAGAAATTTAGTCAGCTATTCTATTGATTTCTTTGAGTATTTTATTAATCAAAATAAAAAACTTTCTGATTTTAGAAAAATGCAACTTAAATTTTATAAAATTCAAGGCATGTGAAACAGCTCCATATTTGTTAATTTTCACCTAATTGTCTGATTTTTTTCTGTAAGTTCACAGTAATATCTGCATTTCTCAAAAGTCTACATAAAAATAGTTTTAAAATAAGAAACTTATTCATTTTGTTTTTGGAAAATAATATTTTAATGTAAAGCAGTTTTATCTTTACCTTATAGTTTTTTAACCTTTTATGGTTTTATGATATAAATAGTTTATTCCCCAGCTTAACAGTTTTATTTACGGCTACGGCTATATGGAGCTCTCCGACATGATGGCAGGAGGTTAACAATAATAATGGTCGGCTACGAAACCAATCTTGTACAAACTCCTTTTAAATAGCCAGGGCTTGAAGTGGGTGAACTGTATGAGATAAAAAGCATTTAACAACTTTCTAATTGGTGTGTTTTGGGCCTCAACGCTAACGTGAAGCCCAAAACATAAAATTAAAAAAACCACATTTTTTTAATTTCATAATGAATTTGTGCATTTTTAAAATACCACCAATTAACAAAAATAATAATATTAAAAATGCACCCAATCAGTATAGATAAAAAACCTTCTATTACTTGTTATGATGTTATTATAAAATGCCCATAAAAACTCAAAAAATGTAAAAATGTTATAATTTAAAAAAGTGGTGCAAATATAAATAGTCATCTAAAATAAAAAATTTCATTAAGAAAACAATACTTGGGAATATTTGACGAAACTCCGTGTATTAAAATTTGTTCCTGAGGGTTAAAATGGGATTGGCTAATATATATATATATATATATATATATATATATATATATATATATATATATATATATATATATATATACACTTCTATAAATTGTTAGCTTTGAGAGTATGGAAGGTTTATTCTTTTCATAACAAATTACTTTGATTTTAATCTATTCAAATGCCTTTTGTTAATTTTTTTTTTAACCAGTTTTTAATCTTTTTTCTACCCTTTGTATTTGTTTTATTTCTTATTATTTTATTAAAACCTTTTTGTTTTTAATTTTTCATTTTATTTTTTTGTTAATAAAATTCATCCATTATTTGCAAAGGCATTACATCCAGCCTGATGATTCGATAAATATATGAGTTTTCTCAAATATATATTATAATATATTTAAGAATACTTAAAGACAGAATTTTTAAATGATTTTTAAATTTTTTTTTTGTTAATCATAGATGTTCCTTTTCAGTAAATAGTAAGTTTACTACTTTTGAGTTATATTAAACACAAATGAAATATTATAATTTGAACTGTTATGTTATATGTTATTTGTTAGTTATATTTATATATTAGTAGCCTTGTTACTTGTAGTTAAATCTTTTTTTTTTCTTTTTTTTTAAAGTTTACATAATTTTTAGTTTTTAATAATTTTAAGTAATAAAAATTTATTAGGTGTCATATTTTTATTTAGATTCCAATATATGATTTTGCGACTCATAGTCGATTAGATAAACAGGTAAAAATTTTATGTTATAAAAAGTAACTTTTTAAATTTATAAGTTTTTTTTTTTTTATATATAATTTGTATATGCTGTATTTTTGTTGTTGTTGTTGTTGTTGTTCTATCTTCTTTACTAATTAAGCTTTTAGCCTCATTTAATCAAAAATGTGGGTTCATGTACAACTACAGTACAACTACTGATTTAATGATGCTGTTTGTTTCAAAGTTGCTGTTTTTATTATGATTTGATAACCATCTATGGTGTTTTTAAACTAGAAAAAGCGAATATGTTATTTCGATTTGTTATTTATGTCAATGGCTAACTTTGTATATCTTTTCTTAATTTTAAAGTTTATTTTAGAAAACTGTTTATGGTGCAAGTGTGGTAATATTTGAAGGTATAATGACATTTGTATGTGAGGAACTTCTTGAAGTAAGTTTTCATCTTCTATTTTGTTTAATAGTTCAATTTTTTTTAAAGAGGGTATTATATTTTGATAATTTTAAATATTAAAAACACTCTTTTTTTTAGTTATTAGACATGAAGATTTTTGTTGATACAGACTCTGATATTAGATTAGCAAGAAGGTAATTTTGTCAAAAGAGTTAATGAATTATATTAATTATAATTGTTATTTTTTATTAATTACTTGGTCAAATGTATTTTTTTTGTCATAAACATAGTTTCTTTGATTTGTTCTATAAATTTTTTTTAAATGATTGCAAAACAGTTTTCACTTTAATTTTATTTTGCTTATTTTACTTCTCATCTTATTACAAGTTTTGAAAAAAAGTTTAAAAAACTGAATACATCCAGCATGAGGTTTATTTTCAAAAATTATAAGTATTAGAGCAAATAAAAATAATAAAAGATATTTTTTAATTACATTAAAAGCTTAACTAAATTCATTACAAACTAAATCCTCATTACAGTTTCAAATCAACATCATAATCCAACATCACGTTGGGCATAAAATTTTTTGTGGTTAGTTAAAAAATTGGAAATTAAATGAATCAGAAAAACAAAATGAAGGAAGGGAATTACGAAGACCTGATGTTGGAAAAAAAAAAATAGACGAATAAGAATATTTGGAACTTTTAGGAATAGTCACAGTAAAAGGATGAGACTTAACTGATTGACAAGTAACACAAGAATGAATTTTATTAGATGGCAAAAGAGACACTAGCTCTTTAGAGTAGTGTCTATTATAGTATTTATAAAAAAGAAAAGAGAAGCGACATTACTATTGGGTTGTAACATAAGTTCGTAGAGTTTTGCGTTAAAGTTATTTTACAATCTTTAAAGATTTATTTGAACAAAAAACAATAATTATAAGAATAAATTAATCAATGATATATTCTCCGCTACTATTTACGTCCTCCTTCCATCTCTTGACCAATTTGTTGATGCCGTTTCGCCAAAAATCGGTCGGTCTGGTGTCGAAGAAGTTGTTGAGCCAGTTTTTAAGATCCTCTTCGCCATCAAAGGTAACACCCCTCATTTGGTTTGATAGAGAGCGGAAAAGGTGATAGTCGGTAGGTGCGCGATCCGGAGAGTACGGTGGATGCTGAAGAACCTCCCATTCAAGCTCTTGGAGTGCTGTTTTGACAACTTGGGCAATATGGGGCCTGACATTGTCATGGAGCAAGATGACTTGACCTTGTCTATCGAGTTTTTTCAGCCGAATAGCCTCATTTACACGGTTCAGCTGGGCAATGTAGACCTCCTTGTTGACAGTGGCGTTTCGTTCGAGCATTTTTCAGTGCACCATGCCTTCCCAGTCCCACCAAACGCAGATCATGGCCTTTTTTGGGTGAAAATCTTGCTTAACTATCGGCTTCAGCGTCTCTCCTGGGGCCACCTACTCCATGTGTTGCTCGGTGGCGGGTGAGATGTTGAGCAGCAATTTGAAGGCGTTTTTCTTTGTTTTCTTTGTTGAGCTCGTGAGGTACCCATGCTTCGAGTTTTCGAGTAAAACCAATTGATTGAAGGTGGCGAGAGATTGTCATTGCACTGATGTTCATTTTTTTCAGCCAATTCACGAGTTGTTTGGCGACCATCTTCCTTCAATAGTGCCTTCAGATGCTCTTCGTCAAATTCTGCAGGTTGTCCGCTTTGAGGTGTGTCTTCAAGGTCAAAGTTGCCATTTTTAAACTTTGCAAACCATTTTTGTGCAGTAGAAACACCTAAGACACCTTCCCCGTACACACTGCATATGTCCTGAGCGGCTTTGGCTGCTATTTGACCTCGATGAAAAGCAAAGAAAAGCAGATGTTGAAAATGCTGATTTTTTCCTCCTGGGTATTCCATTTCTGAGCCAGAAAAAAGACAAACAATTAAATTATCCAAAAAGCAAATAAAACCGTTTTGTAGACGAGAAAGAGCTCTTTCGAATGAATGTATACACTTTGCTAAAAAACAAAACAAATTGTTGTAAAATAACTCTAACGCAAAACTCTACGAACTTATGTTACAACCCAATATGATGTGATAATGGTTGAAGGTTGGCTGCAAGAGCCTGTTTAACTATGTTTACATTTCGTTTTTGCACCTTGTCTAAAAGAGAAAGGGCATCGTTAGAATATCCACCCCAGATATAGCAACAGTATTCCATACAAGGAGAGATTTGAGATTTATAAAAATATAAAATAGAATTCTGAGTAAGAAAGTGGTGAGCACAATAAAGAGATTAGGATCTTTATTGTGCTCAACAAAATTTAAATTAGCATCTGCTAAGGTTGCGACCTTAGCAGATGCTAATTTTGCAACGAATTTGATATATGGTTTCCAAAAAAGATCAGAAGTAAGAATTAATCCTAGAAGATGAAGGGTAGATGACTCATCGAGTACATTACTGTTCATAAATATAGAAAAATCTAGATTATTATAATAACAATTAGCTGAGTTTTATCTAAGTTCACCAGCCACTGAGAGCCCCATGCTGTAGCAAAAGTGAGATCTTTTTCAAGTTTAAATGGCCCCTCCAAGCAATCAGAGCGTGTTAGCTTATCAAGGCAAGAATAAAAGTATATAGTAGTATCAGGGAACAATGCCACCTTATATATGAGAATTTCTGGGAGATTGTTTATGTTAATTAAAAAAAAGTAAAGGGGCAAAGATAGAACCTTGAGGAACCCCTGAAGTTAAAGAAAATAAAGAAGAGTGCTGTCCATCGAGGGTCACCTATATACTAAAATTGGTAGGGAAAGATTAAATATTCTTAAAGATGTTACCTGATACACCATTAGAAGAAAGCTTATAAAGAAGACCAGCATACCGAACTTTATCAAAGGCTTTAGAAATGTTGAGAGAGATAGCCTTAACATTTTGTGTAAATATATTTGTATATTAAATTTTTTTTTATAATATTAATTTATATATTTGTGTTATAAGGGCAATTCCACGGCTATAAATGAATAGAAGTCAAATTTTAAACTCTTTTTAGTCAATTAAAAATAAATGAATATTGACTTAGACATATGAAAGTTTGTTTAAAATATTTCCTTAGTAAAAAAATAAATTTATTTCAGTAATTTTTATGGTTTCAAAAGTTACTTGACATTTTTGCTTGATAAAAAAAATAATGATTGTAAAATGTTTTAGTTAAATTAACATTTATGTTAAATTGCTATATTTTTTTGGTTCAAATTGAAAAGATTGACATTTTATTAGAAATTAAACTAAGACAGGGCTCAAATTAACGCAAAAAAATCTAATCGCGAAAAAAATTTTTTTTTTTTTTTGCTCTCTCCCCTTATATAAATATATATATATATATATATATATATATATATATATATATGATTTTTTTTTTTTTGCTCTCTCCCCTCTCTCTTATAGCTCTCTCCCCCCCTCCCCTCTCTCTTATAGCTCGCGCCGATGTGCGGTAATGGGGGGAGAAAATTATCGTCAATAAATCAAAAAACATCGTCAAAAATTTAATAAAAAATTAGATATCACGTTTTTTATAATTTATTGTTTCTTGAATAAAGGACTAATAAAAGTTTAAATATAATTAAGTTTTTCATTTAAATGGTTGATGTTTTTATTTAATTTTTCTATTTCAAGTTTTCCAAAAAAAGATAAAACAAAAAAATTTGGTTTAATAAATCGAATTATAGTTCATGTTTAAAATAAGGCTTAAAAACGTTAAAGTAAAAAAATTGCTGGTTTTTATTAGCATTTTTATGTTTTTACTGTTTGAAAAAAAAAAAACTAATAAAAAAGACTTAACTAATAATATATTAATTAATAATTATATATTAATTCTCTTTTATTAGTTTTTTTTTTCAAACAGTATAAAAATGCAAATAAAAGTCAGTTATTTTTTATGCTCTAACGTTTTTAAGCATTATTTTAAACATGAAGTTTTGATAAACAAAGATAAAAACCAACTTTTCAACTTTTCGCTTTAACGACCTTGTAAAAATTTTCCACCCAGAGATTTAATGTAATTTAAATTCAAAAATGTTTTACGTTGAAAGAAAATCTCCGCGCGAAAGAGCAAATTATCTATTCAGAATAAAAAATTTTGTGACGTTCTTTATGATAAAAACATTACTTTGAAGAATTGCTAAAAAAAAATGCTAAGCTAGAAAAAAGTAATTAATCAATCAAAAAAAAAACGAGTCACGAAAAGATTTTTTTTTAAGAAAAAACTAATCGCAAAAGTGTGTGTAGCAATCGCGATCGCGATACGCTTAATACGAGCCCTGTAAGACTTTTTTATAAGTTCTAAACTATTTAAAACTATTACTTAATAACTTTTTTTTAACGACGTTATTCAACCGAATGCTATTATACTGTTTTTGCAAAACTAATTTAAAAAACTTGATTAAAACTTAATTATTTAATCACGACTTTTTTTACTTGAAAATCGAAGTAGATATTCTAAAGTTGTTGTGACGTACTAACGTGATTTTTAACGACTAACAATCGAGTTTCAATGGTGAAAAAATAAAATCAAAATGGAGTTGTTTTTTAGTGATTTCGGCAATTGCTTTTTGTTAGCATGCATTTATTATTACAATTTAGGGAAAAAGAAAAAAAACTTACATATTTTTTTTTTATGCTCTTTCATATGAGATCATATGTTAGGAGCACTTAGGGATCCCTTTAAAAAAAAAAACATTTTTTTAACTATAATTGTGATTTAACTTATTAAATTTATTACTATTGATACTTTACTTTTAAACTTGTTTAGGTTAAAGCGAGATATTAGTGAACGTTGCCGAGATATTCATGGTGTGCTCAAGCAGTATGATAAATTTGTTAAACCTGTAAGTCTTTGTACATTTTTTTTTAGATGTTATATTTTTTGTGAACCTATTTACATGATAGTGTATCTAGAGCATTTTCTGACTATTTCACTTTAGAATTCGTATGACATATCACAGAAAGGTTTTTTTTATTATTGTATATATACTACTGAATATAATTCTTATTGTAAACAATACAGTACAGAATTCTTATAGCATGTATAACATAATTAAATTTTATTGCATGTATTAAAGAATTGAAATCACAAATATTATTAGCTTTTATTAGCATTTGATGTGTTAGACAAAATAGTTTACTTCTTAGAGAATATATATATATATATATATATATATATATATATATATATTATATATATATATATATATATATATATATATATATATATATAAAAGAGTGCTCAATAGATGCTGACTATATAACTCAAGTAGAGTTATATAGTCAGCAACATATCCAGGCTGATTTTGATACTGTTATACCGGTATAAGCCCCCAAATTTCTGCCCAAACTCAATTTAAAACAATTTTGTATTAGCATCATGTTTGTGATAAAAAAATTAAACAAAAAAAAATTATTACTTATTGTGTTGCTATTTTGTAATATTAAAATTTTTGTCATTGTTACAAAATTGTTTTTAATGTTGTTTAGAAAAAGCAACATTTGCGAGAGACTTTTAAAACAGATTATAAATGTATTTTAAGTCAATCAGAATTGTTAATTTTAGTTCACGCGGATGAGATATGGAAAAGGTTACTATTGGATTAAAAGTAAAATGCGCTTTTTGATTGGATTAAGATAAGGAATAGCATTTTATATTTTTGTAATTCCTTTCATAAAAACATTAACTTGTTTCAAATATACTTGAAATGAGTTTCTCGTCCGCTTACATTTCCATAAATATAATTTACAATTCGAAGAAACTCTATGAACTTTAAACTTTCTCATTTTAAATAATAGTATAGTTGCAGTAAAAATGTAAATTTTAAAATTTAAAATTATAAAATAAATAAAACTTTTTAAAAATGTAATAACATAATCATGTCAAATAACTTAACTTGAATGAATTAATGACCTTGTTATGCTTGTGTTTTGAATGAATTAATGGCCTTGCTATGGTTGTTTTATGAATGAATTAATGACCTTGCTATGTTATAACTATGCGTTTTATGTTTTTATAAACTTTAATTACTAAAATTTGTTCGCAAAAGTTTAAATAGTACATTTAAAAGTTTATATATTACAATTAACTTATGTTATATGGGTGGACCAAAAACTACTAGATAAAAGTCAGTTTTCAAAGCATTTGCTGTTAACCAAACTACAAAACACAGAACAAGTTCAAGAAGAGGTAGGTCAGCAGCTAATTTCTGAAATAAGAACTAACAAAAGCCAAATTATTATCAACGAACATTTACTAGATGGACGTATGTACATGATGTGTCACCAATCTCTGCAAAAATGGAAAAAAAATATTTCCAATTGGTATTTATTCTGCAAATAATCAAGGTTGGTTATATAGTATTTGTAAAGAATATGGGGGTATTAGAGAAGTGTGGAGAACTAAAGGCGTGAAGCTTTTTGAACATTTACAAAGAACATTTACTGAACATCGAAATTCAAAGAGACACTAGGATGCTGCCAACAAACGTCAATAGATCAAAAAAATACTTCCAACCAAAGGAATTGTATACAATCAGATGGTTGATGGCAGCTTGCAATAAAGAATTACCGTTAAACAGCGCAATTGTAACATCATAAAAAAGTTTTTTAAAACTGTTTACTTTGCGATTAAAAAGAACTGGGCAGTCCAGAAAACTTTAGTGGTATTGTTGAATTTATTTGAGATCTTGGCGATGAGGAGATAGATTCTCACTTTAAAACTGTTAGCTAATGAGTGACATACACATCATCAACTAGTGTTGATCAGTTCGTCAAAATAATAAGTGATAAATTAGACAATGAGGTTTGCACAAAAATTATTTTGGCCTATGACTTTGGTGTTCTTGCTAATAAGATGAGCGACGTGGCGGATAGGACTTTTCTGTTTTCATTAGATATGTTGATTCTGATTCTCATGCTATTGAAGAAATACTTCTTGATCCAAGTTATTGGAAGAAAGGATGTGCAAACTTTATGTGAACAAATACAACTAGTTTTAAAATCTAAATCAATAGATATCCAGCAACTGCGTTTACATGGCTTTGATCGAACTAACACAATGAGTGGTGTAGGTAATGGTTTACAAGCTAAGCTAAAAAAAATTTCTCCACTCAATGTACATTAACTGTTGTCATTGTTTAGCTCTTGTGTGCGAATACTTAAGTGCATACACTTAATGAAAGAATTTGATGTCCTAGCTAGTGTTGATGCTAATATCTTGGGAGTTTGGAAAGCCATAAAATATTCTAGCGTTTAGGCCTCAATATTTGATGCACCACAAAATGCTGACGGTTTGAAACCAGCGAAGTTACTTAAAGCTGCTCCAACGCATTGGTTATCTCATGGCGCTTCTTCAGTACAACTCGTTTCAAGATTTGATTAAGTTATAAACAGCCTTTATGCAGTTGTTAATAAGAATATTCATCATTTTTTCTCTGATTATAGAAAAATCTTTTTTAGCCATGAAATAAAAAGAAACCTAAAAATTCAAGCTTTAGTAGAACAAGGCAAGTTAAAAATTAGTAACATCAATATATATAAGCACGAACACCCGATAACAAGGGATGCAATTTGGCGTTAAAGCCATTAATATAACATTATTGATTATTTTGGTTTCTTATTCCTATTTCTACTATTTAGAAAAACTAAAGTTAATTTTAAGATTCTGTTTTTAATTGCTAAAAAAAAAAAAAGGTCCTCAAAACGCAGACAGACCTGTATGCCCAAATAATTTCTGGATATGTCACTGATAGTATATATGTTACTGTTACCTGCAGTACCAGAAATTAGTTAAATGCTAATGTTTATAATAAAATTTAATATTGCAACTCTGAGTTTCATGTGTTACCACAATCTTCTGGCATATATATATATATATATATATATATATATATATATATATATATATATATATATATATATATATATATATATATATATATATACATATATATATATATATATATATATATATATATATATATATATATATATATATATATATATATATATATATATATATATATATATATATATAAATGCATAAATACAAATAAACAAACATAAAATACAAGAATTTCTAAGTGATTTTCATGGTCCAAAAAGTATATGCGTACAAATTAAAATTAGATTCGCCCTACCTAATGGACAAATAACCAAAGGTAATATTCGTCTGACCAGCTTATTTGTATCAACATTATTTTAAAACATAAAACCTTTTTTCATAAAAGCCTTTACCCAGAAATTTAAAAAAAAAGGAATCGCTTAATTTTCCCTTTAACTAGTCATTATAATTTTCGAGTTTATGATAAATAGAAAGCATTTTGCCTGTTTAAAGCTTCTTACTTTTTGAGCTTAACATTATTTTGTTTGTCTATTATTTCCCATTTTATATTTTAATATAGGGAATTCAGAATTGAATGTGTTGGTTTGGATTGTAATTATAGAACTTTCTCAAGTTGTCAATTTTTTTTTTTTAATTGGAACATAACCACATGGACTAGTCTTTGTATCTGGTAGTGTGCTTTTTTTTCTAATTTAATGTATGCAATGCTTAAATTATCTTTATCTTACGTACATACTTGGTTTGACAGTATCTTTTTCCAAATGCATGGAAATAGTATAGTTTCCAAATGTATGGAAATGGAAATAGTATGATTTTAAAATAAAAAATGGTTGTTTTTCTTTAAGGTAATAAATTAGTTTTTTTTAGTATTGCGGACTTTTTATATACTGTAGGCAACCTATATACTCAGTAGTCATCAGTTTCAAGATGGCATGGAAATTCCTCGGAACAGTTTACTACTAATTTAAAAATTTTTTTTGGTGTGAAAATTCTGTCTTGTTTTTGCATTGTCCTCATGATCACAATAAAACTCTTGCTAAAGAGTATCATTATAATTGAAAATTTACTCTACAACTAAGAACTTGCCCACACAAAACAAGATGTGTGGTTTATATTTTGACCCCAAAAACTATCAGGAAAAAGATGAAATTCTCTATAAAGGCTAGTAAATGCATTTATAAAAATAAAATAACGTCTTCATTTGCTCCTACTTCATTTGCTTAATCTTCATGATAAACATGAAAATATGAAAGTTTAATTTTTATTTTGTAAAAATTAAAAGTGTATACTCTTAACATATGCAAGTAAAACATTAAGCTACCAAAAGTGTATACTCTTAAGGTACTTCTATACAATTAAAAAGGCGAAAATCTTAAAATTTTCATTTTTTTAATTAGAATTGCTTTAAGATCAAAATTTTTCACAGAATCTTAGGAAATTGAGGTTATTTCAACTTATCTTGGTATTGATTTTTACACTTAGCATGTAAGTATTGATTTTTACACTTAGCAATGCCCTTAACAACCATGTTATACCTCTATCACAAGTTATTTCTTGTGTAATTCCATCTTAATTTGTTTTCAAGTATTCTTTATGCACTTACATAACTAAAAAAATTTTTTTTTTTTTTTTTTTTTTTTTTTTTTTTTTTTTTTTTTTTTTTTTTTTTTTTAGGAATTAAGTCTATAGTCTCACTAGAATAATGCCTGCATGACCAAACACAAAGTTTGAATGAGTGTTTAAATAGAACTATTTGGACACGCTGTCCCAAACCTACTTATTGTAGCAGAAAAGTACTTATAATTGGTGTGTGTTCTGCCATCATAAGTTTCAATGATGGTATTAATTGTATTGGAAATGTTTTGATAGTTTTAGTATTTTACATGAAAGTTTTTTTGAAAAAAAAAAGCATTAAACAGTGGCCATTATAGAGCTTTAATTCATTGTAAATAGTTATCTTTTAAAAACACAGGGAAAAGTAAAGAAGTCTAAGAAAAG